ATACATAACAGTATTATATATTATTCTAGTCTAGACTTCTCTCCTGAACTCCAAAATTCTATGTTTGAAACTGGCTATCAAAGCTCTGCTTTACTGACTAAGACATATTTCCAGTGTAGCAAGTCAACACTTGGTTCTTGATTGTCCCTCAAACTTGCTATCTTATAGTCTTTCTCAGCTAATAAATGGTACATCTATTCTTTTAAAACTTAAATCATATCATGCCATGCCTGAACGTAAAAGCCTCCAGTGTTTTCCCAGCTTGTTCAGGCCTTCCAGGACACATCCCTTGTCACTGCTCTGATATTGTCTTTCATGTTCTCCCGTGGTCCACTCCATCTTAGCCACATTGGCCACCCTGTCCCAGGATGCTGTTATTAATGTGTTGTTCCCAATCTCTGGATAGCTCTGCCCCAAATACCCACATAGATCTTTTTAAAATTTCTTTCAAGAATCACCTTCTTATTGAGGCCTTCCCTGGCCACTCTGTCTCAAATAGTAACCACCCCCACCCCGAACACCAAAATAAACAAATCAACAACAACAACAAAAATAAAATAGCAATCTGCCTCCCCATACACACACTCCTACCTCCCTTTCTTGCTTTATTATTGGCCTTATAACTTACCACAGATGCACTATATATTTTGCTTATTTACTTTGATTACTATAAAGCTCCTATATTAGCAATTCTTTTTGGTTCACTCTTGTATTTCAGCACCTTGAAGAGTGGCTGGCACAAGGCAGGCTCTTAAATATTAGTTGAGTGAATGAAGGTTATCAGTGATAATAAGGAGAGCTACCTCTTAGGTAAAGAAATAAGGAAAAATTAAATAAGTAATTGTACATGTTAATGTATCACAGATATTAATTATTTAAATTAATCTCATATGTTCATGTGTATCTGTTGGAAGTAAATTTTAGGTGGAAACTGCAGGAAGAGAAGGAGAAATTCTAATTCAAAGGAATAATAAAGAAGTACATGGTTTTGCAAATCAGCCTCAGGCAAGGTAGAGACAGATGATGGAAACACCCTGGAGTCTGGCCCAGATTACCGGCTCCTAAGCCTCCCATGAGAGAGGAAGGGGGTGGGAGGCAGGCTGGGGCTTGTACGAGTGGGGTCATGGGGTCAGTATGCAGTCTTCAGATGGTTCAGCGTGAGAGCTCTAGGCTCACAGGCTGCAGTGTGCTGATGTCCATCTCTAGCAGCTCTCAGTTTCTAGGGCAAGAGTCATGGCTTATAGTATCTGTCTGTCTCTAGGGCTATATGTGCACATCCTAAAGTAAGCAAACCGCTCCGAGTCCAGAGAAAGGGACTGCCGCACATATGTTCATGTACTTGTCACTAGCGTGCTTTCCTATGAAAATATAAATCCTTATGGTAGGTAGCAGCTCCAGGGTGTGTTTATTATTCTGCTTTGTGCCTAACACATAGTGATGTTACATGTTTCTTCATGAGCTGGAGTGAAAATTAATTTGCCTGCATCTAGATGGTCATTATCAGTTACAAAACATATTTTAAAGTCAAAATGCAATTTTAAAAGGCACTCTGATTCTTGAAGCTATAAAGGATATATTAATTCTCAAAGGTCTTTGTATTCAGATGTAGCTATTTGATTAGCTGCTATAGGCATAGTCCATGAATAAAATTCCTCTGTAAATCATATCACCTAAGGATTTTATAACACAAAGTTGATTTTCATAGATTTTCCTTAGACTTCACTAGCTGACTTCCTTTACATCCCATTAAACAGTCCTGGGGATGGAGGCAAAGAGGCTACTTCTCCCACTGACAATGAACAGCTCAGGGAGATGCAGAGGGAGATAACGTATTCTGTAACCACGTGTCACCATATAATACTTTCTAAACCTTTTCCAGTTTCAGAGAGGAAATAGCTGCAATCTATATAATACCTGTCTCAGCTTATCTTTACAATTTGTAATTGGTTTCCCACATGGAGTTTAAACTTTGCCTGCTACATTGGTGCAGATGTGGCCAAGGACTTCTGATCTGTGAAGTTAATTAAAGGTTTTAATCTCATTTCTTTTACAGGGAGATCAGACTCTATATACCAGAGTGGGGAATATGTGAGTAGTATATATACACACATATAAATATGCACATATGCCACATATGGCTATATTGAGAGAAAAAAATAAATAGAAAATGAGAGATCTTGAAAGAAAAGAAGTGAGGAAGGGAAGGGAATTAGCATTCATTAAGTGCCTACGATGAACCAGGCACCAAGGAAAGAAGGCGACAGGGGGTACAAAGATGGAGGGATACAATTATCTGGGTGTTAAAAAATGAACTTGTAAAAATCTCCTTCCCTAAGGAAGACTACTATAAAAATGGATGCTGGCAGCCCATCAGGGAGTGCTTGTCAAGCCATTCAGAGGAGCACAGAACGCTGTGGGGCACTGATTTTGGCTTTGTCTCCCCTAGGTGCTTAGGCTGCTGTCTCGCCATGAGATGAGTTATCTTTGAAGTTCTGCCGAGTCTAGATAGCATGACTTAAAAGTGTAAGTCCCTCAACAGAGTTCAGCTTCCAAGAATACAAATGCTCAGAGAACCACATGAGGTCAGGGAAAACCAGCTCAAGATATTTCCCTTTAAACTCTAGAGAATGCTAGCTGTCACCATAATTAAAAGGATCTTAGAAGACTATACTGGCAGTTTCTAGATATTAGTATCAATTATTTGTTCATTTTTTTAAAAATCGGGGGTCCTTAAAATTTCTGTAATTGCATTTTCTGAGTCCTCTGGTGGGCAAAGGGTAAGGGTGACCTTGAAGAGTCCCTGGGTAGGTGGGAGGCAAGGTCAGGTCCAGCTGAGCTTGGGACATGACCAAGAGAGAGGGATGAAAACAATGACCATTTTAGAGAATTTTAAGGTAAGTCTTCAAAAATTGTTTATGCATTCCTAGCCAATTACAGGTTTGCTTAGCTATCACTTCGGCTTTTTCCACTGCCACTGCCCCAGTATCACATCAGATGTCCTCAACATCATTGGGCTCATTATAAGGAGCCTCTCTACCTCCATTCGCACTTTGGGATAGATTACAATCATTTGGTCCAATTCTTCATCATTTTCTATATCCATGTTCCTTGTCATATAACTTTACAGTGCTCTCCCACTGTGGGCTGGTGACCTGCTCAGTCTCTTTACCTTGGGCTCAGCCATGTGATTTTTTTTGCCTATAGAATGTTTAGGAAATGTGATGCAAGCAGAGGCTTGAAATGAACTTGCACACTGGGCTTGTTCTTTTGCCAGGAGAAGAATGACAGACACATGGCACTGGCTACGGTACTCCAGCCAAGCCTACCCTAGAATAGAGCCCCACCAAACCCCCAGACAGTGAATCAGCCCAGTAGAGACAAGTAGAGCCACACAGATCAACCTGGATTAAAAGAGCTGAACCCTGCAGATACAGGATAAATAAATATTGTTGAATGCCACTGGGGTTGCTTGTTACATAGCAAAAGCTAACTATACAAGTGCCATTTGAATCACGCTCTTGTCTGCCAGAGTGATATCTAAAGTGGAACTTCAATTATCCTAAAATTATTCTACTTAAGACCCTCCAGTGACTTCCTGTTATGGGCTGAATGATGCCCTCCCAAATTCATGTGTTGGATTCCTAACCCCTAGTACCTCAGAATCTGAACTGTATCTGGAAATAGGGTCATTGAAAATGTAATTAGTTAAGTTGAAATGAGGTGACACGGAAGTAGGGTCGGCCCCTATTCTAATATGACTGATATCTTTATCAAAAGTGGAAATTTGGAGACAGGCATGCTCATGGGATAAATACTGTGTGAATGTGAAGGACGAGATTAAGAATGATATGTCTAGAAGCCAAAGAACACAAAGATTGCCAGAAAAACACCAGAGGCTAAGAAAGACTTCTAGCCTCCAGAAGTCTGAGACAGTAAGTTTCTTTTGTTTAAGCTCCTCCCCGGTTACCTTTAGGATAAAGTCTAAACTTCTTTACAAGGTTTGGAAGTCTGTTCATGATCTGGTCTCTGGGTATGTGTGTGGTCTCATTCCTCACTGTATTCCACTAGCTTCAGTCCACCCTCATTCACTAGCCACATAGAGCTATTTAAAGTGCTCCAATCATCTGCCTCAGAGCTTTTGTCCATGCTACAACCTTGGCCTTGAATGCCCTTCTTGCCACCTTCTCATCCCCCAGTGAATCCCACATCTTTATCTAATTAATTTCTATGTGTATTTCAAGCTCCAGATCGGGCTATCAGCTCTGGAAACTTTCTCCTCACCTTCCCAGTCCTAACCATGAGTGGAGGCCCTGCTGAATTCTCCCAGAACAATCTGTACAGATATTTCCATCACAGTACTTATCACACTGTGGATAATTAATTGTTCATTGCATATATTTATCAACAGATTTGATAATGACCCACTTAAAGGTATCTGCCTTTTTATTTCTAGTCCCTAGCACAGTGCTTGGCACAGAGTGGCTATGCAGCAAATGTTTGTGGAAGAAATCTGTGAGTGTTTATGTGCAAATATTGAAACAGATGTGTTCTTGAGAGATACATCCTGCTTGTGTGACAACTGGCAGTTGAGTTTACTTGGAAGTGAAAGCACCCAATTAAAAACCAAACATCACTTGCTTATTCTTCTTCATTTCCTTCTCTCTATGTAACTACCCAATCGCACACGCTTTATAATGTTTTAGATGTAAGTGACTGTGAGTTATTACCAACAGTGAGCCTTTCATCTTTAAGACTGACAGTCTACGGTCCACATTTCTCAGGAGGGAGAGACTATTATAACTATGTTTTTGCTTACCAAGAGAATTGTTAATAGTTATCCTGAAGGAAAAAAAATCTATAAATATCTAATCTATAATGAAGCCTTAAGCTTTTTTTTCTTCCTTTACTAATGAAATTCTTTCCGAGTGCATTGCCAGAATTGCTACATAACCATTACACTGAGAAAAGAGACAAAGCCTGTAGTGAGTTTTTTCTTTTACCTGCTTAGTCCTCGTTTTGGAATCCAGTGACAGATTGTTGTACGTATAATGTGCCTGTGTGACTCCACAGAAGAGAACGGCGACTATCCCTGAAATTTAAAAACATATCAGTCAAAAACAATTTCCTTTCTCATCTAAGTCAAAGGGTAGTACTATCCCAGCTAGAAAATGGAGTTGATGTCAGTAGAGTTAAAATTGCTAATAATTATGATATTGAAACCCAGGTAAACCTTGCTACTTGCTTTAAACATGGAGCTTGCAGGCTTAAAGCTAAAGAAAAGCATTGAGGAATAGATTCTTCCCAGGGATAAATGATAGTCTGATCATGAGTTGGGAAATTTATACTTGGAAACCCATAAACAAAAGACTGTACAGTCAACTCCAGGCCTCTCCTAGCCAGTGCCAACTACTTTACTGTATTTTATAGGAAATGCTGGCATATTTGCTTAGACATTTGCTTTCCACCGTGTGCCTTAAGGAGACTGAAGAAGTTTCTCTCATACTGTAATTTAATATTAAAAACAATAAGTCATAACCCTAAGACAACTACAAGGGTTCTGTTGCCTCTGCCAATGCTCTTACTTTCCAAGCACAGAAACAGGTCCTCGTTTGCCCCTTGCCTCCTTGGCAAAGCTGGGGGCTTTGTCTTTCTGCTGCTGACTAATCTCATGAACACATCCAAGGCACACACTCCTTGAAGATAAGCTTGTCTGTTCTTGTGTGCTTCCTACCCACAGTGGCCCTCAGCTGCTTCCTGGCTGGTTGCATGATTTATTTTTTAAGTCATCATTATACCCAGCTTTAAACACTACGTGAACCCACACATACGCTAGATCCTGCCTGGGAACAGAGGAGTAGCAACCATGGGACAAATGTGTTATTTGTCCCTGGGCTCTGTTATTCTGTGTGTTATTGCCCTGAGCTGGGATGGGGAAGTGGTGGGGGCTGCATTCTACTTTGAATTAAAGATTTGATTAATTATGGGAAATTGGGCATGAAGGGGGGCTTTGGGAAAAACACTAAATGTAAGTATTCCTCAACTCAAACCAAGGGGATTGAATTGAATTTTAAGCAGCAGAATCTTCCAACTAAAGACACTCATAAATTAAATGCTGATGATTCTTAAGAGTATAGAACTACATGAACTGAATATTGACATTTCAAATGTATCTGCAATAGAGAATTTAAAGAACCAAGCATATTTTTAACATGCAGACTGTATGCTTCTATCTATATGTTTGTTATTTTGAGGGTTGGTTTTGGATAAAATATTGCTAAGATGTATTTATCTAATATAAGTGCATAGATATTTTTATCATTTATTTCCTCTTAATATTATGTTTCAAAATTTTAGGCAAAAAGAATAAAAACAGCTAGGAAATTTTGCAAAGAATATACATGTAGTAAGCATTTATACAGATATTTTGGGCTAACTTCTCAGTTTTTTAGCCTCTCTTCAGAAATTCTAAGGAAAAAAATGCTTGTGAAATATTATATTTCACTCTTCACAGATTTTCTATTAAAAAACAACCAGTAACAGGAAAACTTTTAGGGTACCGAAGCACGTCAAGTATTTTGAGGAACTGGGAGGATTGCCATGAATGTTGTTTTCGTATCAAATATTTTTCTTTCTTTATTTAAAAAATGTTATTTATCTATTTCTGCCGATTCCACAGTCTGTTGGAGGTTTTTCCACATGAGCTTTAGCTGACCTTCTACTGTTGCGGAAATGTTTTGACTATGTATTGATCTTCGGAGAAGTAGTGAATAAAAAGGGAGTGGGGTGTGAGCAGTGCACAAGTGCATTCTGAGAAGAACAGGTAACAAAGAATTGTTATAAAGGATAGGTAAGTGGCCTAAGATTGGCTGAATGCCTATTGTGCACAAAGAACACGTTAGTTTTATTTACACCATCTTACTTACTTCATTGTTTTATTATCTCACAGCAGGCTTCCACGATTGATCAGCCCCTCTTGCTATCTTCCCCTTCTCAGTAATGGCATATCTATTTTTCCTGCTGCCCAGGCCGAAACTCTGGCAACACCCTTTTTTCTCTCCTCTCTCTGTACATCAGCAATTTTGTTGACTTGTCCTTCAAAACTTATCTGAAACCTTCTCAACACCTCCACCCTAACACTCTTTTTCAAGCCACCTTCTTTTTTCGCCCGGAATGACAGCAACAGCTTCCTAATTGGTTCCGCCCCCACCCACCACTTTTCCACTGCTGCCCCTGGGGCCCAGTTTATCTTCTACCTAGCAATAGTGGTTCTTTTAAGACAATTCAGATTATGTCAGTCCTCTGCTCCCAACCCTGTAATAGATCCCCATGACTAAAAGGCTCTGCAAGACCTAGATCTAGGCCTAGATCCCTCCTCCCCTCTCCACAGCTCTCTGACCACCTCTCCTACCGTGCTCCCTGCTCCCTGCTCCCACTGCAGGGCCCTTGCATGTCTGGTTCCCACTGCTTGGAAAGTTCTTCTCCAAACATCTATATGGTTCCCTCCTCTCCTTAAGATGTCACATTGTCAGGCAGGCCTTTGCTATATACTCTACAAAAATAATCTCTCTCATCATTCTCTACTTGCCTACAATAATCTTTTTTTAAATTATTTACTGCCACCTAACATTTTATATATTTATAGGTTTATTTTCTGCCTTCCTGCACTGCAATGGAAACTTATCGAGTGCACAGTGATTCACTGGTCCCCAACCATTAGAGCAATGCCAGGCACATGGTAGGCCCTCCACGTATTTGTTGAATAAATGAACAGTCCTATCCCCATGTAACGAGAAACTAAAGTAATTTACTCAAGGTCACCTTGACAGTGACAGAGCTGAGATTCGAAATTCCACAGACTCCCTGTGCTTTTCTCCCTATATTAGACCATCCGTGAATGTTTAGGGTAATCTTAGCTCACCTAAAAATGTCATTTCTGATGTCCCAGGGAAAAAGTCAGAGATTTGAAGATGAATATTATACATGTGATCTGCCTGGACATCTTTGAGGACATTTTCCCCAGTAGCTCCCCTGGTTTTTGTTTCCTTGCCTCCGTTAGAACACTAACAAAGTTTCTGCTAATATTTTTTTGAGTTTTGTGTACAGATAAGTCACACAAGCAACAAACAATGAAGAGGGTGCCCATGTGACCAGAGTCTTAGTGTTGTAATTAAAATAAAACAACTAAGTTGATCCGATCCTTAGTATCAGCAGACACAATCATAATTCTATAGCTTGGTAATTAATCAACTCACACAAATTAACTGTAATTAGTATGACTTTTACAATCCAAAACACATTTTGAAAATGTCTCACCTAAATACATCTATTACCTATAAAATTCTCTGCCATCTAAACAGATTCAGAGTTAGCAGTTTTCTACCTTACAAAAGTGCATTTTAATTGCCATTATATTTGTGCATACCTGCTAGCCTGAGCCATACCACTGTACTGGAGGGCCCTAGACAACCTCTTACATGCTCTGGGTCTCAGATTCTCAGGTGTAAAAAGGTGGGGGAGGAGGACCAAGTGTTCTTTGGGCCAATTGGCAAACTACAGTGTCTCAGCACATGTGTTGGCTCTGTGTTCCTGGGGTCGGGCTTCGCAGACCACATCTTCCTTTGCTGGAGCCAGCTAGGATCTGTCAGTACGGAGCCCCCGAGGGAGACCAGGATGCAGGAGAGGAGAGAAGGCGTTGCTCCTCCCTGGTTGCCTGCTGTTCCTCTCAGCTGCATCTCAGCAACGGTTCTTGACCATAGCTTTAGCAGTTGGTCCCAGCCTTGTTTTCTGTTTTTTAGCTTCGCTTCTGGATTAACCTCCTGGGACCCCCTCAGAGAAAGTAGCAGCAGCCAGGCAGTGTCCTCAGAGGTCTGGTTCCCAGCTCAGAGGTTCCTTCTAAGGAGCTTCTAGATTCTCTTTCCTTTGCTCCTCCAGTCCCAGGGTTCACACTTGCTTCCTGCAATTACTACCTCTGTGTTGCCTCAGTGCCCGTTTTTTACTTTGGCAGCTCTCTACTACCTACATATCCACTTTCCTGCGTTAAACTCTGTCGACAACCAGCTGGTTCCTCTCCTCCTGAGAGAAACCTGACCAGCAGTCTCTTGTAGTCCCTTTGCATTCTAAACTTTCAGGTTCTCTGAAAACATTGAAGCTGTGTTATCGGAAAATAAGATTCAGCCTGTATTCTCTTATTATAACTGGGACCATGGAAGATGCCAATGTCAGCTGAGACACCATGCCAAGTCCCAGAGGACTGGACTCAGGCTCATTTCAATCCTACCTATGGCTGAAATTCATATTTTTAAAAAGTGATGTGAGTTTGAGCCACTAGATTGGAACAAGTGGCTTGGGGAGAGGAGTAAGTTAGGCGTAGATCTATTAAAGAGGGGTGGCCCAGACTCCGACCTGTGTCTTCTGATTCCCAATCATATGATTTTTCCAAAATATGAGAACAATCCTACAGTGGAGTGGCTGCCTTGAAGTGTGAAAATTTCGCTATAATGGGAAATGTTTGGGCTGAATAATCATCTGTCAGAGGTGTTATAGAAATAATTTTTTTCATAAAGTAGAAATTTAAATATCCTCCAGTTCTATGGGTCTACCATTTTCCTACATATTATTTTATTAATTCACTAGAATTAACATCTCAATTTAGTTGTTTTTTTTTTAAGTTCAGGACAAAGTAATAATAGTGGCTCCAAATGAAACCTATAGACCTTCTGAATAAAGGCAGCCTGACTTTCTCAAAAAGTGAAGACAAGATAAACTTAGAGACTTTCAAATATTCTTTCAATTTTAGATAGACAACCTTTCTAAAGTAAAATTTTAAAACATATCATTACCATACCCTCAAATCATAAAAACTTAATTTTTTCAGGTAAGCTATAGGGTTTAAAGATGAACTCAGGAAATCTCCTCTGTGCAGAAAATGTGGTAAGTCTCTAGACCACAAACTTTCAGGTCAAAGGGCATTGAAAATGGTGAATTCTGATGTCTGTGCTCAGGTGCCAGACACAGCTCACCTCAGAGGAACCCACTTCCTTTCTTTTTCCTTACCGCTGCTTCTCACCCCTCTGTCTCGCTTGTCACTCC